GAAAAGTGCCTCTGGATTGGTCAGCATGGCCCATGTAATGAAAGCCATAGATGAAATGTTTTCATCCCCTTATATAAATTCAATCAGGTAAAATTGCAGTTTAGAGATATCTTCTCATGTTTCCACCCAAATCTCGAGCCCAGTTATATAATTTTTGTTTCTCTGGGAGAATATGTAATATCTGCACTTATATCAAGCACTTTACAAACTTTGTTTCACAGCACCTTTAGGAGGGTAGGAAGCATTCCTCTTTTCCAGATGAAGGTACAGAATAAGTGCTTTGTTGTGGCAAGTGACAGATCTGGGAACAGAATGCAAGAATTCTGATTCCCATTTAAACTGGATTCTTTCTTGAGCATCAACAAGTTCTGCAGGCCAAATTAGTCTCTCAGTTAAATTTGTGGAACACAATTGCCTTCAGTGCATTTGCACTGGTTGTAACTGACATGAATTTAGAAAGCTGTTCATGAAACTCAAGAAAGGAGAGAACCTGGCTCAGCCTCATTTCTGCAGAGCTTAATGGGAGAAAGAGTATATTTTATTTTAGTCAGTAAAGCAAGCAGATATGACTTGAAGGCACACATGGAACAGATGCCTTCAGTAAGAAGGTGTCATTTTTACAGAGTAGAACTGTGCTTTAAATGTTTATTTTAGATCAAAACTAGAATGTGAAATTCTTAATTCACAAATGTAAATCATTCATAATGCACTGAGCATTGCACATGCACCAGTATTTCATTTGCTATTGAAATCCCAAACTTTTAACTCTCAAAGAAGATGCAGACTTGTTCACCAGTAGGACAAATACAAATACCATATCATTAGGTGCTGGAATTTTTTAATTTCACAGATCTGCCATATTAAAGTAGTTGCACTCAGCCTACCTAGGTACCTGTACATGGTCCCATCACCATAGTATGTGAGTGCCTGTAAACAGTGGCATGATGATTAAACTGCATGAAATGTTTCTAAATAACTTGTAAAGCCTTGTGTTACAATATATGGGGTGAAATGTGACATGAGAGTATCAGTTGGCAGGGCGATGAACTAAATAATCTTACAATTTTTCCCTTTTCTGCCTCAGAAAGTATGTAATGCTTTTCAGCAAGGCCTTATCAGATATTTCCTACCCCTCAAACCACCTCCTATGAGTCAGTGAAGTCCTAGATTTGGTTGAGCAAGATTGGTAGTAAGGTTTTCTTATTCTCTTTCAGGAATGCTTCATTGCATGAGCAAATGTTCCTGAAAGCAATTATAGCAGAGTTTCGCAGGTCAGGGCTCGAGGAAGCAACAGTTCAACAGGTACATTTACTTTTTTTTTTTTATAACTTGGACAGTAGCTTTTGTCTTAATTGTTTGACTATTTTCAAAGTGTAAATTTATTGAAACAAATCATAGGTGCAAAGATAATATATGTAATTGATTATAACCCAGTTCACAAAAGCTAAGGAAGATGAGAATCGAAAGGACTTGTTAGAACAAAAAAACATAGATGCTGGCATCCTAATTTATTTTATGTATTTGTATGGTTGGGTAATAGAGGAAACTTAGCTGAGTTACAATTTCTTACTTCATTGACATAGCCCTAATGTTCTGAGGTCAACAGCATGTGTGTCATCTTCGCTCCAAACAGATTCAGTTGTTTGTTTGAGAGTAGAAAGCCCATCTTTTCCACCTCTTCTGTTTCCTGTTCCAATCTAATATACTGACTAAATTGAGTTGTATCTTCTTCCTCTAGATCTATCATCAGCATGTAGCACTGTGTAGGATTGAAGGTCTGCAAATTCCTACGGTATCAGAAATTATGGCAATTTGCTCAAGACTTGGTGCCTGCCGTTTCTTGCTGCTAGAGTCCAATAATAAATACCTTCACGTGCGGGTGCGCCTGAATATCAGCCAAGATGATGTCATGTATGCACTCAAGCAGGAATAAGGCAACAGAGGTTTTGTGTATATATGTAGGTGTAAATATTTTAAATATTGTTAAACTTTTAAAAAGACTGGTTTTAAAAACTTGTGTGGATAAAAATTGAACATACCAGAAACTGTTCTGTTTTTTCTAAACCCTTTGCTTAAATTTTTAATCTATTAAAGCACTTTTTTTTATAATAAAGAATTCCTTACTAAGTGTTTTATATCTTTGCATTTAAATCACTTGTTTTGAATGTTTTTCGGTGCTGCAGTAAGTGATGTGTTCAGTAGGTGGCACTCTCTCCTCTGAGCCAGTACTTGAAAGAGTGCCATAAAACAGAATGGAAAGTGCCCTCTTTCAAATAAGCTGTGAAAAGATGTGAAAATTTTGAGATTTTGACCACTTGTGGGCGCTAAAGATGCTAAAGCACTTTTTGCAAGAGTAGGGGTATCTTGACTAAACTGCAGTTTAGGTAATTTTCCTTCTAAAATTTCAACTGGATACTTAAGATCTGATTAACACTTTTCAAACATGTTTTAAAATTAAATTTCTCATCTGTTGCTTATGTGTAAGGCTGCATGTCTGTCACGGAAGTCATGGATTCCATGACTTTCTGTGACCTCCATGACTTCTGTAGTGGCCGGTATGGCTAGCTCCGGGGCTGCCCGAGCAGCTCGGGCAGCCACACCAGATGCTGCTGGGGCGATCTCGGGCCACTGCACCCACCCCTCCCCACCCCAGCAGCAGCAGTAGTAGTTTGTGTGTGGGAGGGGGCTTGGGGCTGGGGCAGGGGGTTGGGGTGTGGGGAGGTGCTTACCTCAGGGGGGCTCCCTGGAAGTGGCTAGCATGTTCCTGCAGCTCCTAGGTGGAGGGGCCAGGGGGCTCTGCACTGCCCCTGCCTGCAGGCACTGCCCCCACAGCTCCCATTGGCTGCAGTTCCTGGCCAATGAGAGCTGTGGAGCCAGCGCTCATGGCAGGGGCAGTGCACAAAGCCCTCCTGGCCTTCCCTCCCCCTAGGAGCCGCAGGGACATGCCGGTTGCTTCCAGGGAGCTGCACAGAGCCAGGTAGGGAGCCTGCCAGCCCTGCCAGCCCTCCCCTGCACCCGAGCACCAGCAGGAGTCCCAGGCCACGTGCTGGCGCCTTACCCCCCCAGCACTCATGCGCCCCCCAGGCTGCCGTCCCCCCAGAGTACCTGCAGCGCCCCAATGCTTTCCCTCCAGAGCACCTGCAGCCCCCGGCCCAAGTTTTAATTAGGGATATATATTACAAATCATTGTCAGGTCACGGGCCATGAATTTTTACGGCCCGTGACCTGTCCATGACTTACTAAAAATACCTACGACTAAAATGTAGCCTTATGTGCAGTGAAAGTATACAAAGCTGAAGGCAAGGCCAGAAGGGGTGGGGAGAGCATGAGTGTTTGCTACCGGAAATTTTGTATTTTCATAGAAGAATGAGCTTTACATTTCGCTTTGAATTTAAGCATGTTTATCTGTTACACAGAAGAGTTTCAGAGGAATTGCCTGAAGACAGCTGATGGAGGTTTGGTTAAACTGTTTTCAGTATGAAATTGTACTTGAGAAAAAAAATTACCAAAATTACTGACGATATCTTAATTTGCTATTTTAAAATTACATTTTTAATCACTTTAAAATGATTTATTAGTGTGAAATGTGCTGCAAAAATAGTTCACGCTTGTAGTAAGTGACTTCAGTATAGAAAATGTGGGAATGGCTTACTGTGCTGATAGAGGGTTTACCTCACAATGAGTTTTTATGGAATAGCCACTCTAGCTGAGAGCTAGGACCTCATCAGTTTCTACAGTAACTCATAATCCAAAATATTGTGGCAGACTGGATCTAAATTCCATAGCAAGACCCCAGTTTCTGTGGCAGACTGGAACTTCAAAGTAGCCTCAGGGAAAATGTAAATATGGATGTCATGATTTAAAGAATAAAACAGTACAATATTTTGTTTTTATTTAGTGTCTAAATTTTCAAATTTGCCACTGATTGTGGAGTTTTAACACAACTGCATTGTGGACTGTTGAGGTAAATCTGAAGGTTTTGGTAATTAGGTAGGCATATTTAGAACTTTTGGCACATGAAGGTGTGTGTGGGGGGGTTGCAGTTTAGGATGGGATAAACCATCATAATTGCATATTTCTGCTAAAATTATCAGCAGTGAAATAGTTAATAAATTGGCTTTAAGTAACTTAGCTCTGAAAACTAAGTCCATTGAGATGAATGAAGAATGATAGTTCACACCTCAGAGCTCTCCCCCCACCCTCCCCCGACTCTAGAAAATTCAGTGTCTGTTTGGCCTTCCAACTGTGAACCATCTTCACAATCAAGTGCTAGAAACAGCTCTAATTAAAAAAAAAAGTGGCAAATTCCATGACATATACAGGACTACTGTCCGTGGATCATTGACCATCTGCTTTGCCCTTTACAAACAGAGGTGCTGTCCCTGGTTCAGTGAGCTTTAGGCCAATGTTAAGCTTGGGTGTCTATCAGGCACCAAATCCATATGTAATTGCTTAAGAAAACTAGTGTAGTTGCTTGCTGGCTGGCCACGACTTTTAACTGCAGGGTATTGTTATCTGCTCCAAAAGGTGTCACTGGGACTTGCTGGCAAAGACTGGAAAATAATTCTAAGGGCAACTAACTGCCTTAGGCTAAGATGTGGCAATAAATGACTCCCATGGGCATCCCAGTGGTTGTCTAGGCCCTATTCTTTGCTCGATGCTTCCTTCTGCCCCTGAACCAGTATTACTGGCTTGGGTTTGGTTCTACCTGTCTACTTACCTCTGTCCCTGGGTACTGGATCCACTCCTCCAAACTTCACTCCCTGCCCTATGTCAAGACCCTATGGCCCCTTTGAAACTCCACCCTACCTGACCCATCGTTATGGCCCGCCCCCATCCCCTCCTCTGCTCCGCCCCTTTCTCATAACCCCGCCTCTCTCCGATTCCTGGCCCTGGCCCCGCCCCCGCTCCCATAACCCCGCCCCGTGGATTCTTTCCCCGCCCCCTTTCGCTTTGCGCCTGCGTGCGCGCTGAGCTTGGAGCCGTGTCCTGGTGTGGAGTGGCGGCGAGCGCTCGCGCGCGTCTCTTCAGGGTCTCCTGTGCGCTGGGGCTGGGCGTGCCGGGCAGGGTAGGCCAGTCACGCCGTGTGCGGGGGCGGAGGCCGGCTGTCGCCTCTGTCTCTTCCCCGGAGCCTGCACAGGCCCCGCTGCCCCGCGCCGCGGGGGGGAGGGAGTCGGTTATTTACATGGCGGTGCCCGCTGCTTGTCTCCACCCGCCTTGTCCTGACCGGGAGCTCTAGCCGCTGTGCCGGGCTCCAGGTCTGGGGCGGGGGCAGGAACCCGCGCGGGAGACAGGTGTGACGCCACGAAGAGCGACCCTCCCGTTTTGCACCTGGGTGCGGTTTCTGCCACGCAGCTTGACATCTGGGTTAGAAACGGGGGCAGGGTCTGTTTGTGCCGCTGTACCGGCTCCTGGGAACGGCTTCCGGGGAGGGAACCTGGAGGGACAGGCTCCTGCGCCCGGCTCGGGGAGGGGGAGAACCCAGGGTGAGGGGGGACAGGCTCCTGTGCCCGGCTCGGGG